TTCATCTTTCTGTTTATCTCCTTCTCTCTCCTCTCCTTCTCTCTCCTCCCCTCTTCTCTCTCCTCCCTCTTGTCTCTCCTCTCCCTTCTCTCTCTTCTCCCTTCTCTCCTCTCCCTTCTCTCTCTTCTCCCTTCTCTTTCCTCCTCTCTTCTCTCTCCCCCCTCTTCTCTCTCCTCCCCTCTTGTCTCTCCTCCCCTCTTCTCTCTCTTCTCCCATTTCTCTCCTCTCCTTCTCTCTCTCCTCCCTGCTTCTCTCTCCTCCTCTTCCTCTCTCTTCCCCTCTTCTCTCTCCTCCCCTCTTGTCTCTCCTCTCCCTTCTCTCTCTTCTCCCTTCTCTCTCCTCTCCCCTTCTCTCTCTTCTCCCTTTCTCTCCTCCCCTCTTTTCCCTCCTCCCCTCTTCTCTCTCCTCCTCTTGTCTCTCCTCTCCTTCTCTCTCCTCTCCCCTTCTCTCTCCTCTCCCCTTCTCTCTCCTTCCCCCTTTAAACGTCTCCTTCCATTTTTATCTTAAAATTGTTCTCTCTCTTACACACACAAACCGATTCTTCATTTATATCACTCTCTCTCTCTCTCTCTCTCTCTCTCTTCTCTCTCTCTCTCTCTCTCTCTCTCTCTCTCTCTCTCTCACAGTAGCCCGGAAGCGTCACCTTGGTCTAGATTTATCGCCCGGACCACCCCTAGAGTTTACCAGGTCCACATCATCCCTTAACTCACCAAGCTATTGTGTGATACAGTCGTGTCCATAACTCACTCTACTTAACGTTGTGTGTGTGTGTGTGTCTGACAGAGAGAGAGAGAGAGAGAGAGAGAGAGGTATAACTCACAGATTAAGCGTCTCAGGCATTTTCATATTACAGCAGATGATGAAAGTTCAGTGAAGAATACACCATCATGAGATGAGATTACTGAGCGTTAAGACATCAGGCGCTGAGAATAGCAGATCTTGAGCTGAGATTAGTGAAAATCATTATGGCTTCTTCTACAATAATTTCCTTCATTGAGAGACAGATCCATTATCTCTAGAACCCATATAAACGCTGGAGACTTGGAGATGTGACATTATCTCTCTCTCTCTCTCTCTCTTTCTCTCTCTCTCTCTCTCTCTCTCTCTCTCTCTCATCTAGTAATATTTTTATACTGTTGCCAAACTTTGAGAAGTGAAGTTGGTAGAATCTCTCTCTCTCTCTCTCTCTCTCTCTCTCTCTCTCTCTCTCTCTTTTCTCTCTCTCTTTTTTTTCTCTCTCTCTCTCTCTCTCTCTCTCTCTCTCTCTTTCTCTCTCTCTCTCTCTCTCTTTCTCTCTCTCTCTCTCTCTCTTTCTCTCTCTCTCTCCGTGGGTTCAACTCAACGAACGTCAGACCGGCATTATAATTCTCCCCTCTGAAGGGAACTACAATCAAGTGCTCGGTCACCCAGAACTCTGCCAGATAAACACCCCTAATCCCCCGGTCCTTCTCCACCAATCTCCGTCATATCTCTCTCCACCAATCCCCCAATCTCTCTCCACCAATCTCCGTCATATCTCTCTCCACCAATCCCCCAATCTCTCTCCACCAATCCCCGGGTCTCTCTCCACCAATCCCCCAATCTCTCTCCACCAATCCCCGGGTCTCTCTCCACCAATCTCTGTCAGAATTGTAAATTGACGGTGGCAGTGTCAGGGTAAGTCTGTGGCAGGGTAGGATCAACCGAGCAAGGGAGGTACTCAAAGGAACCGGTGGCTGTGGTCTAACGCTGTGCCCAGAGTGTTTGATCAGCTGGTTGTGCCTGAGCCTCTGATGTTTTGTTTATGTTTTGATGGTTGTCATGGTAATGTTTGGTTTCGTCAAGGTCATTGGTTATGAGTTTGTGTTGAGAGTACAGTAGGTGTGTATGTTGATGGCTGCTATGGAATATTTCGGAACTGAATTGAATATTGTAGTGGAATATATAAATACTTTTAAACTTTATCTTCCACACACACACACACACACACACACACACACACACACACACACACCAAATAAAGGCAGACAGACAGACAGACAGACAGACTGGCAGACATGTAACCGGTGACGACAACCGCCACTACAAAGAGTATCAATCCCTGACTCGATCTCAACAGATTATGTACATGAGACTGCGCCTAGGGTACAGGTACCTATGGGAGTACATTGGCAACCCTGAGCCTCACCGCACTGTTTGTAAACTTTGTGGCCAACCCGACTCTCACACTCTCTCTCACTACATCCTCACTTGCCCTATGACCTCCTCCTATAGGTCCCCAGCCGTTACCAACACCTCTTCCCTCCCTGACCAGATATCCCTCCTCCTAGTCACAGGCCTGGCACTTGCCATTATTAGGGACCTGCCACGCTTTGCCATAAACAGATGAAATGTACCGGGAACTTTCCCCCACACACTCATCATTCTGTCACTTTATCTAACTTGCCGACAAAACCTATGACCCTTCAGGCTTCTACGCCCTTAATTAATGCATGAGTCATAAAGGCAAGCATGAACTTAGCATGCTTCCTAGATGGGCGGTGTAAACGCTTCTGCGCTTCACCTTGCACAGGATGTAAGGAGGTGCCCAATAAACTAGCCCCCTCGGGGGCAATCTAAAAAAAATCTAAGACTGACAGACAGACCGGCATACATACAGAGAAACCAAAACAAATATATATGTATACCCTCTCGTACATGTATAGTCTCGTTCAAGATTCTTCTAACACTATTGGAGACAGCTGGCAACAATACATACATACATACATACATACATACACTGCTGCACCATCCTCGACACCGGCTCCTACCACCTCATGAGATCCCTCGTCCGAGAATTGCTGTCCAACACCACAACTGCATGCAGCCCCTACGAGCACGTACTGATCGCTATAAGAACAGCCCAGTCCCAACCATTGTAAAAAATATTAACAACTAGTAATCAACCAGTGTGTTCACTCCCAGTCAATCTTACCTTTTTGCACTGTCACTACGTTGAAATGCCTTGTAGTATGACCTTCTCCCCACCTAGTTATTATATATCATATTTGTATCACATATGTTACTTGTATATTATTTGTCATTCAAGAGACACATTCCCCAATTATGTGCAGTAACTGTATATTTTCAGCCTTCCGACTGACATGCTCTTTCAATAAACCGTTAATTAATATTATTATTATTAGTAGTAGTATCATTACACTCCCTTACACTCAAACAAAAGAAACAGACTGAGAATGGTAGCTACAGACAGACAGACAGACAGACAGAAGTGTTTGTGTATCATTAGGAGAAGATGTCCTTGTTTCTCTGTCTCCCCGTCTCTCTTGCTTTCTTTGCTCTCATCTCTTGTCTTTCTCCTTTTAAATTCTTTTCAAGTCGTCTCTTTCTCCCTTTCTTTATACGTCTCTCTCTCTCTCTCTCTCTCTCTCTCTCTCTCTCTCTCTCTCTCTCTCTATCCCTGTTGTGACCAATCACGTGAAAGCAGTATTCTGACTTCTAAACCAATCAAGGGAGCCCATCCATCTTACTTTAGAGTCAGGTCCAATCACGTGATAGAATTGTTCTGACGTCACAACTAATCACATCAAAGCATAAACTTAGGTACAGCCATGAAGTAGGATTACGTAGCTAACCTTAAATCTTGAATATCAAGCTGGATTTATTCAACGTGGAGGCGATTATTAATATTTTTTCAAGAGGGGGATTTACTAAGCATTAAACACACGTTAATCGTTTTCGCCGCCATGTCTTGTAATCCGCGTCCAGGGGATTACTTATCAACTACTGGGAGGATTTACTTGAAATTTAACTAGGATTTTCGTGTCTACATAAGAACATGATCCAATCTCTAACCCCTCATCCCCCTCAAATCCCTCCCCCTCCCCAATACTCACTCTTCCACCTCCCTCAAATCCTCCCCTCCCCAATACTCACTCTTTACCCCTCCCTCCGTCCCTCCCCCTCCCCAATACTCACTCTTCCCTCCCCTCCCTCCGTCCTCCCCCTCCTCCAATACTCCCACTCTTCCCCCCAAATCCCTCCCCCTCCCTCAAATCCCTCCCTCCTCAATCCGTACTCTGCCCCCCCTCAATTCTCACCCCCCCACTGCCTCAATATCCGGAATCACTTCAGTTCGTCCCTGACTTTTCCCTGCCCTCTCACCTCCCCAATCCCCCACCCCCAATCCCCCCCACTCCGTCCCCACCCCCCACCTCCAGGAACAATGTGTCGTATATTGAGAAGCCCTATCCAGAGACAGTAATCCAATTTTGGTGGTTCTGTCATTTACCCATTTGGTCCCAGCAAGGTACTGTAGACAGGTGGTTGTGTTGTTTACCCTGGGAAGGTAGACAGCTACGGTTCCTCATGGGGGTGAAGTTATAGAGGTACTGTCAAGGCAGGAATGAGTTATAGAGGTACTGTCAAGGTAGGAATTAGTTATAGAGGTACTGTCAAGGTAGGAATGAGTTATAGAAGTACTGTCAAGGTAGGAATGAGTTATAGAGGTACTGTCAAGGTAGGAATGAGTTATAGAGGTACTGTCAAGGTAGGAATGAGTTATAGCGGTACTGTCAAGGTAGGAATGAGTTATAGAGGTACTGTCAAGGTATAATAAATCCACACTATATAAAAGTTCTTCACCGTAGATGATGTAGAGGAAAGAGTGATCAGCCGTTAGAGGTGCAGGTGTTGTGTAGTCATTAGTGGCAGGGAGAAACACCTGCTACCTGTTGCGCCTCTCTTACTGAACAAGCTAATTGCTTTACCTTGGATTATGTCGGTATTAAAGGTAATTAACAATACTACGTAGTTATATAGGTAATTACTTGTTCTAATCACCTAGCTATTTTCAGATCAAGATGCCTAATTACTTAGCTGAACTACCCAAGAAGCCAAATTACTTATTCTAACTTCACCCAGCTACCCAATTTATTTGTCCTAACTACCCAACTACCCAAATTACTTGTCCTAGCCATCACCCTGACTGTTCTAACCACCTCATTCCCTCTCCCTTACAGGTGATGGGACTGAGGTTCTGTAACGAGGCGTGTCTTCAGGCCCAGCAGCTGTGGCCGGCACCTGAAGGCGAAGACCAGGACCACAAACACCTGACGCCCCTACAGGTGAGTTTTTCTGACGTTTTAAGAGTGAGTGAGTTGGCTGATGGCCTGTGCAGGTGATTGGTTGATTATATATATATATATATATATATATATATATATATATATATATATATATATATATATATATATATATATATATATATTGATAAAATCACACGGGAAAAGGGAAACAACGGAGCAAGTAAATCACTGTAGGTGCGCGTGATCTAGGTATATGTTGATAAATCACAAGGACAAAGAAGAAGAAAACACGAAGTTCCCAAGCGCTTTCGTGTAATCTACATCTTCAGGGGTATACAGACTAAAGAGAACCAAAGGTGTATATATATATACAGAGGGAGGGTGAAAATTTCAGGTCCACGGTCAGGTATTAGGTAATGACCCTACTAATCTTTTTAAATAGTACCGTAACGGTTTAAAGTTTGTAACAGAGGGTAAGGGTGACCCTAACCTTCTCACCTGGTTACAATCTTCTTAATTAAAATTGTCCAGCTTGTATTATTTTTTCATTACTCACATTCATGTTGAATGCTTCGGTATGTTTAATGAAACCAGATTCTATGATATTCCTACTATCAATTGAATTACAAGGTAATATTGAGGAGGCATTAGTCCTTGAAGTCAATGCAATGCTTGTTATCCCTCAAATGAACAAACAGAGCAATGGATTCCTGGCCTGTCCTAACACTGTATTTGTGTTAAGCTTAAGTCTAGTTACAAGACTTTACCTGTCTTTCTTTCCTTGTGGTTATCATGCGATAAGAGTATATATATATATATATATATATATATATATATATATATATATATATATATATATATATATATATATATATATATATATATATATATATATATATATATATATATATATATATATATATATATATATATATATATATATATATATATACAGATATGTTACTTTTACCTGTATACACACACACACACACACACACACGTTCGCGCGTACTAATATACAGTAGATGGATAGATATAGGGATAGAAAGATGATGGAGAGAGAGAGAGAGGTGATCAGCGATTAGTGCGACTCATCCGTCAGACTCTGGCACCGCTGTCTCCATATTCTTTACTCCGGAAAAACGAATAAATTAATAACACATTTTCCACGACTGATGACAATAATTTTCTCTTTACATGTTGAGGAATTTTACTCTTGACGGATATATTAATTTCACCATTTTAAATTACTTGATGTTTGTGAGTTTTATTTGTGTTTTTTACCGCTTTACTTTTAATATATCTTAGGTAGGTTATCGAGATATTTTTTAATAAACTCGATATTAATAAAAATATTTCTTCAACTTGCTTTGGTAAGTTTGTACAATATATATATATATATATATATATATATATAGATATATATATATATATATATATATATATATATATATATATATATATATATATAGTGTTTGTGTTGTGCAGTTTATAGTGTATATAAATTACTATCGCAGGTACTTTATTACTAATTTATAAGCAAATTATTAACAGTTCATCTTGTAAGCCACCTTATAAAACATATTTAATCCAAATAATCCAAACATACCATAAACGTACCTAAATATAATTTGCTTGAATATAATTACACTTATTCACTCAATATAATTCTCTAGTTGCTGTAAAATGACTGACCATTTTTAAATCACCTGACACATGAGAGTTTCTTCCCCGTCATTATACAGTTTTTAATGTCTGGAACATTTTTAATTTGACTTAATATATGTAAATTAATAACTTGTTCAATATTGATGACAGTTTATATTTTTATGATCTGTTGAGTGGATGACCTGTCTTGACCTGTCCTGTCCTGTCCTGACCTGCCTGACCTGACCTGACCAAATCCAACTTTATTTGGCTTGGCCTAACCTGACCTGGCCTTACTTAACCTGACCTGACCTGACCTAACCTTACCTAACCTAACCTTACCTAACCTAACCTTACTTGACCTGACCTGACCTGACCTAACCTAACCTTACCTGACCTGACCTGACCTGACCTAACCTAACCTTACCTAACCTAACCTTACTTGACCTGACCTAACCTAACCTAACATAACCTAACCTTACCTTCCTTGACTTGACCTGCCATATGAAGGTTAAGTTAGGTTAAGTTAGTGGAAGCTGTGTTGATATCGGACCTCCATAACAGTGTGTACTAAGACCTGTAAACTCTCCTCCTCCTCCTCCTCCTACGCCTCCTGCAGGATACGTTGGTCAAGAGGCTGGGGTCAGGTGCAGTGCCCTTCATCTTCAACGTGTCCTCCCTGGCGCCTCCCTCCGTCACCCTCCTGCCAGCTAGGACCTATGTCGGTGCCCCCATAGGAACCAACTATGACCTCCGAATCTTCGTAGGTGAGTATCCGGTGATTCATTAGCTTAGGGATTAATTTATTCGTCGATTCATTGTTTCGGTGATTCATTGATTCGGTGAGTGAGTGATTGATTGATTCGGTGATATATTTCATTGATTCAGTGATTGGGTGATTCGGTGTTGTTGATTTTGTTTTGTTTTACTTCTGGTTTATTATCTTCGGTGGATAATGTGAAGGTCGGGTAAACATTGGTGATAACTCGATGTTCAGATCCGAGAGAGAGAGAGAGAGAGAGAGAGAGAGAGAGAGAGAGAGAGACACTGGCGGCGTGAGGAGGCGAGTTACACCACTTAGCTAAGACGTTCAGAGACATATCGTGTGTTCGAGTTACGGTAAATACTAAGATTGTTATTTATTTATTTATTTATTTATTTATTTATTTATTTTGTTTATTTTTATTTGTTTTTATAAATTAACTTGAAAATTTTAGTGCCGATTGTTGTAGTTTAATGAGTATTGTTGTATTGTTTACTACGTTTGTAAAATTGTTAAAATAAAAACACCTGATGATTAATTCTGGTCAGTATTTTTGGCCTTTCCATATATCATCCTAAAATCTAACTCATAATTCACTAAAAAATTCCCAAACAATATATATTTTTTTTCAGTTTTGTTCATGAGAAAAATAAAAACCAACTGAGACAGATCCTAAATGCTATAACAACTACCAAGAAGTTGACTCTATTAAAACATATCTTTGTGTGTGTATAATATATAGATAGATAGGTCACTCATGAATATTTTCCTGCACACGAAACTCAATATTGCCTTTCCTATTTTCAAGTGAAATTGAATTCTATTTTTCCTTGGGTTGACTTTTATAGAACTTTTTTTACAAATATTCTTCACGGAGTTTTGAGTAAGAAGTTTTTCACTGTTGATGGTGTCCAATATTACCTGTTTGTGCTGATGGCTCACGTCAACACGTCCATAATGTGTTTATATAAGTTATGTTAGGTTGTATAACTCACTCACCTCAAGATTGCACACCCTACTTTATGTCACAGTCTAATGCTAACCTAACCTAACCTAACCTAACCTAACTGAATCTGACTTAACTTAACTTAACTTAACTTAACTTAACCTAACCTAACCTAACCCTCAGGTAGCGTTAAGATGTTTAATCATCAGGTGGAATAAGCTCAGGGTGCCTAATCTTCAGGTGATCTATAAATTATAAAAAAAATTAACGCCCTGATAGACGTGGTTTTCAAGGTCCCCACAAAAGATCTGTTCTATCACCAGCGAGGCAAGACAGTGCTATTCCTATACAAACCACAGAGTCATAGATGCAGCGAAAACTAAATGTAAAATGATTCTTCGGGACAAATTGGCTTGTTCCCCTTGAGGGCAGATGGTATTTGTGGCAGACAGTGGTAGTGAAAGTGGAGCTTAAGGGCGAAGATCCTGGAGGTTACAGGTGGTGAGAGCGACTTTAAGGATCTATTGTTGTGTCAGCTGGCGACCTCTCTGACTGATGCTATTGTTGGAGGTCGTGAGGAAGGGACCTCGATCAGGAGGAGGAGGAGGAGGACGAAGAGGAGAGGAGGAGGAGGAGGCAGGAGGTGGAGGAGGAGGAGGAGGAGGAGGCACGAAGAATGAGGGAGGAGGAGGAGGATGAAGAGGAGGAGGAGGAGGAGGTGGGATTTGGAAGAATGGGCGTGGAGGAGGAGGAGGTGGAGAGAGATGGGGAAAGATGATGAGGACATGGCAGAAGAAGGAAGAGAAGCAGGAGGAAGACGACGAAGAAGGTGGAGAGAGATAAAGGTGATAAAAGTGAAGATGGAGGGGGGAAGATAAATTAAGAAGAGGAGGAGATGAAGATCTATGAGGGGAAGGAAAACGTAGAATGAGAAGGAAGTTGGAGAAAGACGGGGAGAAGAGGGTAGATAAAAGAGGAAGTGGAGGAAACTAGAAAAAAAATATGAAGAGGGGGAGAACAAGATGAATAGAGAAGTCGAAAGAAGAGAGGAGGAGAGAGGAGGAAGGAGAGAGAAGAGGAAAGTGGGTAGGAGAGGTTAGGAGAATGGAGGAGGATTAGGAACGATGGAGAGAGAGAGAGAGAGAGAGAGACCACACACACACACACACACACACACACACGGACGGACGTAAACACAATGCCATTAGTGTAAATCTATTGGGAATTCAGCCAATAGTGCGCAATACATGTTTGTTGTTGTGTGGGGGTCGAAGCCTCTGTACATGACAATACACACACACACACACACACACACACACACACACACACGTCAGCAAACACACACACACAAGTCAACAAACAGACACACACAGACACACACACACGCGTCAACATGCACACGTCAAGAAACACACAGACACAGGCAGACAAACCGACACACATATATCAACAAACTCAGTATTAATATTTACTTATACCTCAAGAGAGAAAGAATATATCCGTGATAATAATAATAATAATAATAATAATAATAATAATAATAATAATAATAATAATAACAATAATAATAATAATAATAATAATAATAATAATAATAATAATAATAATAATAACAATAATAATAATGATAACAATAACAATAATAATAATAATAATAATAATAATAATAATAAAAATAATAATAATAATAATAATAACAATAAAATAATAATAATAATAATAATAACAATAATAATAATAATAATAATAATAATAATAACAATAATAATAACAATAACAATAATACTAATAATAATAATAATAATAATAATAATAATAATAATAAAGTAATAATAATAACAATAACAATAACAATAATAATAATTAATAATAATAATAATAATAACAATAATAATAATAATAATAATAAATAATAATTAATAATAATAATAATAATAACAATAATAACAACAACAACAATAATAATAAATTAAATCAATTAAATCAACAATCACGTAATAATAATAACAATAATAAACAATAATAATAACAATAATAATAAATAACAATAATAATAATAATAATAATAATAATAATAATAATAATAATAATAATAATAATTATAATAATAATAAAAACGGCCAATAATAATAATAATAATAATAATAATAATAATAATAATAATAATAATAACAATAATAATAATGATAACAATAACAATAATAATAATAATAATAATAATAATAATAATAAAAATAATAATAATAATAATAATAAAAATAATAATAATAATAATAATAATAATAATACTAATAATAGTGTATGTTATGTTGTAGTTACTGTAAAAAAGAATATTAATATAGCCTCATATTTACATGTTATATTAATGTTTATGAAGGCGTTTGGTATATTACATATGATATAACCGAAGTAACATGTTATACTACTGTAAATATTTGTGATATATAAAACCAATTTATATCATATAAACTATAACAACCACCATAATTATATAAAGAATTAACACATTACACATGATATATTAAATGGGATATATTAACAGTATATAGCGATCTAATGATGATATATTTCAAGATATATAAATTATTAAAGTATAACACATATTTCACGACATATTTGGGGTATAATTAACAGGATATATAACTCACTAATTATAGCATACTCCGACTGTGTTATATCAGAGGTAATATACCGGGTGAGTTTATTTAATACTCTAATTAAGGGAGGGAAGCCATATTGTATGTGGTGGTAAGGAGGAGAAGGAGGAGATGGGGAAGAAGAGGAGGAGGAGTTAGTTTTTAGGAGGAAAGGAACTAAGAGAAAGACGGAGAAGGAAGAGGAGGAGGAAGAGAAGAAGAAGAGGAAAAAGAAGAAGAAGGAGAGGACTAGAAGGAGAAGGTGAAGAAGTAGACAAAGAAGAGGGGAAGGAGGAGATAGAAGAAGGAGCATAACGGTAAAATAGGACAAAAAGGAAGAAGAGGAACAAAAAATAAAGTGAGTGAGAGAGATGAAAACAACAAAGCAATAAGAGAGAAGGAGACAAAGAAAATGGTAAAAAGAATAATGAGAGATAATGACTAAAGGAACACTGATAAAGAGAGTAAGAGAAAGAGAGAAACACAGGTAAAGAACAGAGATATGTGAGAGAGAGAGAGAGAGAGAGAGAGAGAGAGAGAGAGAGAGAGAGAGACGCAACGAAACAAGGTAAAGGAACCGACAATGAATGGGAGACACAACACAATGAATAAAGCAACGAGAAAACAGAGAAAAAAGTAAACGAGAAAAAATACAAAATGAAATCAGAAGGGGAGAGATAAGAGTGACGTAGAAGGAAGAGAGATACAAAGAGATAAGAAAAAATATAAAAAAAAGGAAAATGGAAGTGGTTACGGAGGGAGGTGAAGATAGAATAGGCGAGAAGAGAATAAAGAGTGAGTAGCAGAGGGAGAAATGAATGAGGAATAAGAGGGTGGTGGAGAGGTAATGGGACGGGAGGAGAGGCAGTGTGCGTAGATAATGGATGAAGGTAAAGAGAGAGAGAGAGGAAGAGGGAGAGGGAGAGGGAGAGGGAGAAGAAGGGAGGGAGAGGGAGGAGTAGAAGAGTGGGAGGAAGGGGGAGAGAGGAAGTAGGAGGGAAGACAGGAAGGAGAGGGAAGAAGGGAGAGTGGGAAGGCAGAGATGGAAAAGGAGAGAGAGTTAGGAACGAAGAGGGAGATTAAGGGAGGAAGGAAGGAAGAGGGAGGAAGGGAGGAAGAGAGGAAAAAAAGTGGGGAGGGAGAAGACAGGGGAGAGGCAGAAGAAGAGGAAACAAAAAAAGTTGGGGAAGAAAGAAGAGGGAGAGAAGAAGGGAGAGGAGGGGGAAGGTAAATGTAAACGGGTGAAGCGTTGAAAGAAGAGAGAGAGACAGAGAGAGAGAGAGCCTTGGGGACGTCGAAAGAAAGCTTAAGACAGCTCAGGCTTTTATTTATATACCGTGCCGACCAGTGATCCTAGGCCAAGTAAAAAAAAATTCCCGTGTGTGTGTGTGTGTGTGTGTGTGTGTGTGTGTGTGTGTATGC